CCCACTTGACAACCATCTTTATGTTTTTTTGTGTTGTGTGGGTGGGGGGGGGGGGGGGGGGGGGGGGGGTGTAGGATGAGAACAACTAAAACAGCTGAGCGATGAGTTCGTGAGGTTATAATAATAATACTCTTGTGACATCTAGTGGTTTGTCTTTGTGTCTGGTGTGAAACACTAGATGTTCTTGAACTGTGAAATCTAACTACAAAGCCTCCTCGTCTCTGATCGGGATGTTATATATTTAGTAAGTATATATTCAGCACGTCAGAGGAATGAGTTCTGCAGGGAACCTTTTTAAATGAAGCTCCCACCTTGCCAGAAGACTCCTTCCATCCTCATCAGCGGTGCAGCAGACCTGGCCTGCAGGATCACCTGGTGCTGGGTGAGTTTGTCTGCATGGAGGAAATTAAACGAGATGACGACGACTGAAAGAATGTACAAAGTTTGTTTAACTTCTATATTTAATGCAAATGATTTAAAATCACTTTCATCTTATCAGGAAGACGTTTGTCCTGTGAGAGGACTCAGGTGGGTGGTTGTATTTGTAAAATAAAAAGATATAAACAAAGATTTTTGTTTCAAAACAGTATTTGATACGGTCTTGTAGTTCTTTATTATTTGTCTTCCCTGTTCTTTAAACATGTATTTACAAATAGTTATAGCAAAAACATTCAACAAGGATGAATAAAAAGTATATTTATTTTTAAAGTTTCTTTATCTTCCTCTTTAAAAACAGGTTCATCAGCCACATTTAATTGGCAACCACTTACTAAAATGTAAACAAATAAGGAGAGCAAACAGCTAAATGTTTACCCCAAGATAAATTCATTTTTAACATTTGTTGCATTAGTGATGTTTAAATGTTACAGTCAGAACAGAGGCAAAGTATCCCGGCATCTTAGAGCTCGACGGACAATTATACTGCAAAGAAAGTGCAACATATACGTATACTCGGCACATTTAGTATAACTGCATAGTATCTAAAGTGCTGAAAATATAATAGGACTACAAACGAAGCCTGGTTGCCAAACTATTGAGGCCTGTTTTAATGATCCATAACATCGATGAGCTGAACGGTTTAAGATAACGGTCCTCATTAATGACTCACCCATCGTAAAGCTTCTGACACTGTTGTTCTCATAACACACAGAAGGATCGAACATCTCCGCCTGCAAAAGAGTGAGGAAACTTTTTGATGTTCTCTTAATGATTGATGCATTAAAGCTGCAGTGAATTATACTGTAAAGGCCTAACATGCTTTACTCTACAACACTGCTATGTCAGCTTCCATTACTCTAGAGATGTGTGTGTGTGTGTGTGTGTTACCTCCTCCTCAGCGGAGTAGCCCATCTTTCGGCGGCTGCAGGAGGCTTTGTGTTTCTCCATGCTCGTCACCGGGACTCTGTGGTTGGAGTCGTAGGGACACTGCTCCATTGCATCCTGTCAAAACACACACAAAAAAGAACCAAAATCATTTTTTACTTTTAGATGACATTAAACCCAAACCCTCGCTCTGTGTTTCAGTCTGTTGACCACACAAGCATTGCCTGTATGTTGTATATGTGGTAGTCAATCAGTGCAGGGAAATGTGTCATATTAACACACAGCTACTGCAGCCGAATCGATTAGTGCTTAAAAATGGTAAGATATGTTGACAGTTATTTTATAACAATTAAATTAAAGAACCACAATACAGCATCTTTAAATGGATAAATTAGGCCATTCAGAGCTAGCAAACCACTTATAGTTATACATTTCTTTGGGATAAACAAAATACAAGAGTTACATGATGTAGATGTCAGCTACCCGACTGGTGGTGGAGGAAATATATTATCAGATTTAATACCTCAAGGAGCAACACAACACTGTGAAAATACTCCATTACTGGTTAAAGTCATGCATTCAAACCTTTACTTCAGTAAAAGTAAATAGATATTATTAGCTAAATGTACTGCAACGTCGTTTAGCTACGATAAAACCAAGTTTCATAATCAAAATATATATATATATATTTTGTGATGATGACTGAAGACTAAACGCTAACGCTAGCTAACGTATCGTTAGCTAAACTGACGGTTAATTTCGCTAACGTTACCTGTTTGTAGTCCTTCGACCATCCCAGGGTTTCAAATACATCGTTAAGCTGCTTTTTGCAGTTTTCTGTGAAGTCTGTCAGCTCCTGAAGACGGTCCAGTCGATCCTGAAGAGTTTGTGTTTCCAATGAGTCCGACATTTTGAGGTTTTAAGTCCAAATCATGAATGTTTTAACAGAATTTGTCTCCAAATCATCTGTTGTTTTGTTTTCACTGCACTTGCGGCCGCCATATTCTGCGCGACGTTATGACGTGTGCCACGGGGTTGGCGGTCGAACAGAAGCGATGCATGCTGGTAGTTGAAGTCCACTTTTGCATTATTATATTGTATTGTATTATATTATATTACATAAAAAGTGTTTCGTCTCTCCAGCTCTCTCTGACTTGAATTGTTTCCATAATAAAAGTTATTGAGGGAAACATCAGATCATGAAAACACAAATCTTTCTAATAAATGAAGAAAGTTGTTTGTGGTCCTTTTGTTGTTCAGACTACAACGAACATTTATTTAAACCAGATGTTGAATCAGAAAACTAATCAAATATAAACTAGAGTTTATTCTGTGATCTGTCTTCACTCTGGCGTTAAACTCCAGTCAGTCAGTCCGATCGGCTGCAGCGTCCAATCACATAACAGATGAACAATGAGGGGGCGTGTCGGCCGTTAAAACACTTCCTGGAAGTCTGTTCTCGTGGGTCCTCGCTCATGGCTCCTCAGAGATCCCTCCTCCATCCTCGATCCTCAGAGCTAAATAAGAGCTTTGGGACGGCCGTCAATATGGCGGCGCAGAACAACTTCTGGTTCAAGCGTGGATCGAGGAGCGAGGAAATGAGAATTAAGAGACTTGGGATGTACCCCATATTGCATCCCGTTTCCCTCACTTGGGTCCTTTCCTTGCGTCCCAGCACTAATTATATTGTATTATATTACATTATGTTGTACCATATTACATTACATTGTATTATATTACATTATATTGTAGTATATTATATTTCCATTTAAAAAAAAAGAAAACAGTCATAATAACAAGTATTTTTTAATAGTTTTGTTTTCTGTTGTAACTCTTATTAATGACAGTTTGCTTTACTTAAAATTAAAAAAATACACACCATGTCAAAGACACACCTACACAACAATAATGATATTGTAAAAAGATTAAATACAAACAAATTTGACAAATATGTAAATGAAAGATGTTTACAGTGTATGCAGTCTAAACAGGCCAGGGTGAAAGTTACTCAGGACTCATGTGGGGTACATCTGGACGTCTTGCAGCAGCTCAGCATCCAGCAGATCATCCGTGTATATGTCCTCTGTTCTGAGAAGAGAAAAGACATGCAACCATGTTTTTTCTTTTTTAACCAAACATGCATGATTGTGTTGCTGTGAATCACACTGTAACTCTGTGTTAGACAAAAGGTAGTACGGTGTAGAATAAATCAAAGTTCAAACAATTGCATTAGTGGTACGATTAGCATAACTGTCATAATAATTCGTACAGTACTTACATTACTTCGAGAGTGTCTTCAACAGCGACCTCCTCCACCACCTCCACTCCAACCACCAAGTTCCTCCTCACTGCAAGAAGCAAACACAAGACGGCACTTGAATTTGGGTCTCTCTGTAGTAATGTAACACTAGATTACAGATGACCAATGGGTTATTTTATCAGAGTTTAGAGATTAAAAGTGCAGAAAGAAAGTGGAGGCCAGAGGTACTGAGTTGTGCTGCGCCAACAACATCCTGCCAAGGTGAATTGTTTAATTAGACTGTTGTTGGGATCTGACTATATGACTTCGACATGTGCTGTGGAACAAAGAGAGAGTCAGGCCTTGCCTTTTGCAAGCAAAGGTTTCATCCTGATTGTAGTTTGATGGGCAGAGTTAGAGAGAGTTTCATTTGTGTTTATTTTATCTTGTTTGTGTGCTTGAAGTACTGTTCATTTTTATAACGTGGTGTGTGCTTTATGATCACTGACACTGGCGATCCCTGAAATTGCTAGTGCTGTGTAGAAGTTAGCGTGTATTCCATGCTACTGTGATTCGTATCCAAGACAGCCGCAGTGAGGTCGGGGACTGCGTCTCAGGTCAGAGGTCGGAACCGCGTCTGTGACAAAGAGCCCGGTTCTTGCTCCTCTGGCTGGGAGAACAGTTTACCGTACTCCCGCGCGGCGCGGAGGATCTTAATCTTTTGTTTTATGTCATTTTGTTTTGTTCCTTTCCCTTATCTTTTACTAATCCACACACACACACACACACACACACATATAGCTAATGTAGCTACGTGCTAAACGGCTACCGGCACTAGACACCGGGTCTCCTGTTCGCTATCCGCCATTTTGGGTCTCGCACATGAGAGACGTCACCAGGTTACAACTACGTCATACATCGCTGCCCTGTTCCCTCGCTCCTCCCCCTACGCACACATACACACACACTACATGTACACACACACTCCCCCCTCCTCTTTTCAATAGTCTGTTGATTTTAGATAGCGTGCTCATGAATGTATAGTTGTTGTTAGTTTAGATATTGTTGACTAGACCATTAGTATTAGAATGTAATAAACTCTGTTATATTTTAAAGAGCAGCTGTCTGTGATTACTTTGTGCATGTGTATTGTGATAATAGCTGTATATATGTGGTCTGTGCTCGAACTTAAACCTTCACTTTCACTCTGAATGTGTAATAGTACTCAGACTATTGACATTGTGAGTGAACACTAATTATGAGACTTAGTTTATCGTTTGGTTATCGGTCCCTGTTCGCAGGGTGGTGCCCCGTTATTATTCATAATCGTTAATAATTGTTACTGACATTAATAATTCTATTGATGTCAATAATTTAGTTTCTTAGATGCTGATAACCCAAACACGCTCCTCTACGTTCCCAACACTGTGTAACAATTTGGAACTTTGCCATCCGCCCTCGACCCATAAAATAAAACGTTGGTGAGTCAAACTGGTTCACCAAGTCAAACTGGAACATCCTACATCTTCTCACCAAACTTGCGACTGATGATGTTCTTAAAAATATTTAACAAATATTCATTTTTAAAAGAATATTGTGTCCACAGCAGCTCCTAAATGTCTGTGATTGCACTACAATAATGAAGCCTGTGGAGTCTTAATATTAACAACCTGTAAAACTTCTCATAACCTAAACTTTAAGGAACCTTGTCAGGCTTTGATACTCCGCTATTATTTGATTTTTCACATAACAGGACTAAAAGCAAACGTTGATTTGATTTGGATTTGGATTTGGATTTGATTTGGATTTGATTTGATTTGATTTTTAATCTCCAGTAATAAAAATAATTTTGAATATTTTTTTAAATGGGTGGAAGATGGTTGTGAGACGAGTCAGACAGCCTTTGATATTGTCTTTCATGTTCATGAGTCCAGGACACAAGAACCAAAACAGCATCCAGAACATTTAACCACTTCATAATTATTCAGGTTGCTCCACATCGAGCATTGTGATCCTTTATTTTTCTATAGTCCTGTTTCATTTATCATGAATACATTTTGTTCTGCATCGTTTGGCTGTGAAATCACCTGAAACTTATATTTAGAATAACCTCGGGAGCAGAGGCCAAATTCAGTTTTTGGAACTCTTCCCCAAAGCTGTGTGAGAAGTTTAAAACAGAACCCTTGACGTTCCTGCTGTCAAAAATGTCTATATGCTAATTCAATGTATAACTCTACCTCACCATTTTGTATCTTAAAATTCACATTTTTCTTTTAGTGTAGCGTAATTCAATCTCACGAAACAGCAGCATTTTATTTCATAGCTATGATTAACTGACATCTGATCTAAAAAACATGTCACGGCCTAAAAATGAAGACGATCAATTGAAGACTTACAGGTTAGTTTTGTTAAACAAAATTGACAGCTCTTTTACAATAATGCAAAAATGCATGTGTGGATGAATGATGGATCATGTTAATCCCCCTTTTACCATGAATAACTTGACATTTAAAAAAATTGAAAGAAAGCATTTTATTTAAAACCAGAAGAGAAAACGTCAGGTGGACACTCACCTCCATAGACGTATGGAGATCCAGGCCAGCAGGGACCCAAACCTCCTGCTTCCCTCTGCCCACAAACACAGACGCACCCCTGGGTCTCCATCCTCGGACCCTCCCAGCAACGACCACCAGTGAAATGACCACCACCGGCATCCATCGCTGTTTCTGGCTGCAGTGAGGGAGGAGCACCAGGACCTCGCCCAGCCTGTCCAGAGCTGCTGGGGATCCCCGAGAGGATGGGCGGTTGGGAGGTGGACCACTGAGCATCGGCGGCCTGACCGACTGACTGATCATGGTAACCTGGCGGATACAGGGGAGGAGAAGTTATCGGATAAACAAACAACATTTCTTTCAAGCTGGTTCATAGATTTGACCAATTTAAGACCTATTTTAAACAGAAAAGTTTCTTTTGTGACTGTTTAGACTGTTAAGCGTCTTTATCAACAGCCAATTTAATGAATATCTTACATTATTCTGGAAACATGTGAATGCATTTACTAATGGGACCCAGTGCAAACCATTTGACGGGCCCGAGAGCACGCTAGTTAAGCGCATGATGCACACAAACACACACTATAGGCGTATAAAGACAAACAACAAACAATATGTTGCATTTTATTGTTAAATGAGTTACTTGGGGAAGTAGAAAAGGTCAAAGGGAAAGCTATCAGGATTAACTACCATATATATTGTCACATGATCAAATGGAGACTTGACATTGGACACAAATCACCAAATAAAATAAGATTATTTTTATTTAATTGAACAGTTTATAGAATAATCGTTATGTTATAGATTGATATTGACTTTAACAAAAAACAAATAGAGATGAAAGGATGGTGATGAGTTTGTCTTTTTGAGGGATTGAACTGGGCTCTTAATGAGCAGTTTACTGTTTGGCATGTAACACACATTTTTAATTTTCAATTGTTTATTATTAATATTTTTCTTAATTTCATATACTTATATGCATATTTACCTGTAAAAATCCAAAGTTCTTTACAAACAGTACATTGACTCCGTTGTCTTTGCTGATAGTTGTACTCTAATGATCTTTGTTTAAACATTGTATTTCATTTTTTGTCTTTTTTCTCTATAAACTATCCATGAACAAAAGAAACGAGCAGATTTATTACTGCCAGTCAACCTGGTGGATCAACATGCTTTTATTTTATACCTTCAGAATTTAGAAAAGCATTTCCATAAAGATGCATTTTATTAATACACATGGCTGCTTAATGCAGGGATTTGGCTTCGAGAGGTCACGACTGAGTCATATGTCTGATCCGTCTGTTTCCTGGACCCGCTGGTGAGACCTGCTGGGTTTGGACCAGGAATGTCACCAGTCAGCTGCTTGTACTGGCACACACACACACACACACACACACACACACACACACACACACACACACAACAACAACAAGCATGCACACTTAGCGGGGTGTGTGCATGCTCACCCAGTGAGTTGATGACACCGACAGGATCAACAAAATCATTTTGTAATTTAATCAGGTGGTCTAATTGAAATCATGATGTCGTTCTTAAGCAAACAGAAATAAGAGACATGAGGCGCACATCAAAACACGTTCACACACAAACACACCGTGTGGAAACACACTACATATTGTTTGTCATGTGTTTGTTGTGTTACAAATGAGCTACAACTGAATGTCGTTGTGCATCCCCGTGTTGCATAAAGACAATAAATGATCCTTGAATCCTTAAATACTCATTTTGAAACAATAACAGACATCTTTAGGAAACAAATCAAATGTTTAAATTCATCCAAAGAGATGAGATGTTCAAGTTTTAAAGTCATTTGTAGTTCACTTTATTTATGCGGTGCAAAAAACTGAATACAGTCCTCCCAGTAGAACGTACAATATATGGCAAAAGTGGCTTGACTGTTTGTTATTTATATAATTTGTTTTGTTTATTGTTTTCCAGTTGTATGAAAACTGTTTTTCTGATTTAACTACTGCAGGAACTTATTGTTTTTAAGTAAATGAATACCATTTCATCTGGTCTTATCTTATGTTATCTTATCATATCATCTTATCTTATATTAACTTAACTTATCTCACTTATCTTATCGTATCTTATTGTATCGTATCTTATTTGATCTTATCGTATCTTATCGTATCTTATCTTACCTGTCGAGCAGCAAGCAGCATGATGCTCTCCTGCCTCCTCTTCCTCCTCCTCTTCCTCCCTTAGCATGAGAAGGCTCCCTGAGTGCTGAGAAAGGAGACACGGTGGAGGTCTGGCCGACCAAACCCACCAGTCCGGGTTCAGTCTGTCCATCGCAGCCATCCACGAGTGTTTGTGGTCAGAGAGGAGAAATCTACTGAAGTCTTCCTCCTCTCCTCTTCCTCTCAGCCACAGATGGGTTTTCTCTGGACACAGCGGGACTGACGGTATGAGGCACTTTAGAGAACAAGCTGATTGGGCATCTCGCCTCCATTATGATGTAATGCCTTCTATTAAAGGATCATGTTTTCCATTAAACAATATTTATTTCACATTATTTCAGAGCAAGCTGAAGTGTTTTAGATTCATGAATGTGGTATATTCACTTCTACTGCCATTGACTTCTAACTGAGCAGTTGTACTTTTTATGCTACTTTCTACTTTTACTTCACTACATCAGAGGGAAATATTGTAGTTTTGACTCCACTACATTTATGAATAGCTTATAAAATATGTTTTGTTGTAATTTAAACTATTAGTACGACTCAAATTATTAGTCGATTAATCAATAAGTTGATCGACAGAAAATAAATTGGAAACCGTTTTGATAATTGTTCTTCATCATTTGCTGGTTCCATATTGTTAAAAATGTTAATGTACTAGTAATAATGTTAATTATGTCAATATATTAGTAATAATGTTGAGGTTTGGACATTGTGAAGTTTTCTCTTTTGGGCACTATTTTCATAATTTTTACAAATTAAAAAATTATAACTATACTATAGTGATAATAATCCCTCGCTTTATGGAGAAAATAATCAGCAGATTAATCTGTGATGAAAATAATCATCAGTTAATAGTTTAAAATGAACTCCACCTCAACCAACTACAACAGTAATATCCTACTTTTATATTAGTAATAATAATCTAATATATAATAGTAGATCAGTCACAGGGGACATTTTTGTACTTTAAATACTTTTCCTGATAACACTTTAAGTGCAGTAACATTTTAAATACTTGTAACAGAGTATTCTTTGTTGTAAAGTATCTGCATACTGCAGCTGTAGTGTCGGATCGGTTTTCATTTGTCCTTCTTTGTTTTTCATTGTCGCAAAAACGCCGTTGGAGCCAGCTTTGATCTGATTGGTCGATCCCAGGTCACGAGGTCACTCACTGCCAATCAGAATGCAGCAGTAAAGGAAACGGGACATTTAACAACCATCTCAAAGAGCTACGTTTTGTGGCTGTTTTCCTCCCGGAGTCTGGTCGCTTCTCTCCGGCTTATATACACGTTCGGACCCGCTTCGTTGTTCCAGGATCATTTACAAAACGTTATTATCGAACGCTTCTGCTTTTTGGGGGGCGTTTGTGTTTTATACGTGCAGCAGACACACCCTCTGGAGTAAAGGAGGTGTAAGCGCGGTATTTTATCTTGTTTCACTGTAGTTACAATATATTTAGTTATGGCATATCCAGGATACGGTGCTGCACACGGTGGACACGCGGTAAGAAAGCGTTAAAATGTCATTAATTATCGGTTTAAAGCTGAATACGACCACCGTCCCGTCAGAGACATCCTGTCTAAGGAATGCGGAAGTCGGTCTGGATATCTCTCATCAGGGCTTTAGCTCACAAACAAATGCAGAAAGCTGCAGGTGTATTCTCTGTGTAAAGGTGTATAATGGGAATTCATCAGTTAAATGTGTGAGCGCGTGCTAGATATCTGCTGACGTGTTCTTTAACTGCTTCCACATTTTTATGTCAAGCTTTTTAAACATGTTACCAGCTGGTGAAAGAAGTATTCAGATATTTTTTAGCATTACTGCAGTGTACAAATACTCTGTTACATGTCAAATGCATTCAAAATGTTACTCAAGTACAAGTATAAGTCCTCTTATTCCTAGAGTAGAAACAGTAAAAAAAATACTCATTATGCAGAATGACCCATTTCAGAATAATATTGTATTGTAGTTATTGCGTGCGTGCGTGCGTGCGTACGAGAGACGGTTCAATTACAATAGGAGTGGGTTGAGGAAGGGTTGGGTTTGTTCTCTATGAGCCCAGAGTGAGGAACACCCTCTCACTTGATAATCATTGCCAGGCTCTTCTCCGAGTCAGCGCTGGTGAACTATGTAACGTGTAACGTGTACAGGCGGCTGTTGATTATCTATGAGTGAGGAAGACTTTTGTTCTGATGAGACAACATTTGTGAGGTTTGAGATAAGTTAAAGGTCTCTAATGCTGCACAAACAACAGACGTTGGTCCCAGTTAGTTAACAGGAAAGATGTTAAAACACGATTACAAAAGGGCAGAAAAAGAGCTTCCTCAACATCGTTTCATCACGTAAACTCACGTTTATTTGACATTTTCAGTCGTTGGACCTTCATCAGGTGATGGTGCAATGAGACAGTGTGCAGGAGTATATTTAGTAGTGTTCAAATCCTAAAGTAAAAGTAGAAATACCGCACTGAAAGTACTCCGCTGCAAGTAAAAGTCCTGCATTCAAAACCTCACTTAAGTAGAAGTAATATGTACTTAAAATACTTTAAAGTATGCATTCAAACCCTTACTTCGGTAAAAGTAAATAGATATTATTAGCTAAATGTACCTTAAGTTTTAAATGTAAAAGTGTTGATTGATCAGTAAAATGTTCCCAGTCTGTGTGTTCCCATTGTGTTTCTGGATTAATGTTACTAATGTTGCATTTTACTGCTGTATTTGTTTGAACTCCTTCTTTATACTGTTGATCTACAGCAATGCATCATATTCTAGAAGCTTTTTCAAAGATAAGCTTAAGAACTAGCTGTCGGATAAATCTAGTGGAGTAAAAAGTAGAAGCGTGAAGTTACATAAAATGGAAATGCTCACGTTAAGTACATCACATTGTTGTACTGAAGTACTTGAGTGAATGTACATAGCGACATTCCACCACAGGTATATTGTATATGCTATATTCAAGACTTCACATGTCTTTCGCTGCTTGTGACCTGGGTCTCCAGCAGCTCGAGGGGTACGTTCTTAAAAACCTGTTGGAGCCTGAAGTCAGGATTGATTTCCTGTCCTGTGTTTTACACACTTGAAGTGAGGACAACAAGCCGATCGTCTACCACTAACCCGTCACTAACACTCGACCTAACTCTCTTGCAGATGCTGCAGCAGGATCCTCTCTACGGGTATTTTTCCGCTGTAGCTGGACAGGTAACAATACTGATGTTTCTCTAGCGCTGCAGATTGATCTTTCTTTTGTATCTAACTGTACTCAAGTGTATTGTCCTTCCTTCTGTTTTCTTAAAAACATGTGACAGGATGCACAGATCTCAGCTGACGAGCTGCAGCGCTGCCTCACACAATCCGGCATCTCGGGCACATACAAGCGTAAGAACGTTTATATTAAATATCACTCAAAGCACAAACGCTCTGTGAGTCTGAGACACGTATTAACCTGATGCTGCTGTATACAGTGGCCCACCCAGCCATTGAACGCATCAAATAGTGCATAGAGACACTTTCATGCTGGGTTGAAGATTTGATAAATCAGAGTTAAGGGAAACTAAAATTTAGTTTCTCACACACACACACACTTGACACAATTACATTTTCTTTTGTTTGTAGTGTATTGATATCATATTTCATATCTTGTAAAAACATTTTGTCAATAATATTGTACGTAGTCATATCTTATGCATATTCATTTCATGTTCTCTGTAATATTGTGATATTTTAATATGTGGAGGCTTCAAATATGCCCAGTTGGCTTTTTGCCCAGTTGGCTTTTTGCCTCTTCCTGCTCTGTGATATTATTTATCTCTGTTATGTTTGTTCATTTTTACTTTATTGTTTTAAATTGTGCAAAATCAATAAACTAAACTAAAAATGAGTTAAAAGCAGCAGCAGAGCTCTGTGGCACAATTTAAACAAATCTACATTTAATTAATTTCTAATTAAATGTTTAAACTACAATTAAATATTTAATCAATATGATGCTTTCTTACACAAATTAGAATAAGTATATAAATATTTCAGCATGCTGTCTGGACCGAGTAAGTGGCTATAAAACAGACAGACCGTTACATTACATTGCTTGCTAGCCAGCTAGCTAAGGAGTCAGTTAGTTAGCCTAACACCATATCATGTGATGTACAATTGTGGGTATTAATTTAATATTTTGACTTCCTGTTTTAAACGTCTTCCAGGCTTTTCCTCACGAGATGAGAGTCAGAACAGCTTCAATAAGAAATGGTTAATGAATGAAGCATTTTAGAATCTCTGCTTTTCATGTGTTTTTATGTTCCATCTTTAATCCGTAATGTTTTTGGTTAAATGTAACATGCCAGGCTGAACACACGTGTGTCGTTCTCTTTGTTTACCTTTTTTTTTTTCCTCACGGCTTCCACTGGTAACCCTGTGTTCAGTGCATATTGCTATGAATTGTGGGCATTTCCCTTTGGCAGAGTCTGCAGAAATACAGACTTACAGAAAGGGTTCATAAAGGGTTTCAAATGTCCGAGAGAGAGACTCCTTAGACCCTCCTTTGACAGTGTGATTGGGCCAGTGTTTTTAGATTTGTGTTCACAATCTGTTTGTTTTTGTCTTTTACAGCCTTCAGCATGGAGACCTGCAGACTGATGGTCAGCATGCTGGATGTATCCTTCACCCATCGGCCAACAGGCCTTTGTTTTCACTGAAGACAGTAGACAGACAGCACAGGTGTCAACATGAAATGAATGATGGCTGCTTTGGTTTCAGGTTCCTGGTGTTGTGCATGCTGGCTCACTGTCACCGTCACTGGGGACACTTGAATAGAACAAGTAGCAGATAAATATTAGTAACACCTGTGTGCATATTCAAAACCCCAGCAAGCCCGGTTAAAGGTGCAACATCCGAGTTTCCTTTTGTTATTAAGCAGACGGCAACCGAGTGAAGTCGATGCTTCATGTGTTAAACCTGCATTCTCTCTAGTGTCCACCAGGGGGCGACTCCTCTGGTTGTATAGAAGTCTATGAGAAAATGACTCTACTTCTCTCTTGATTTATTACCTCAGTAAACATTGTAAACATGAGTTTATGGTCTCAATCTCTAGTTTCAAGTCTTCTTCAATACAGCATGAACTCGAAGCTAACCGATGACTACATCCACACTTCTTAAATACAGTCCGTGTTATTAAGCTGTTCACACTTTAATTGTGACAAAATGAAGCACTCTTAAAGAAACAAGTATGCATCTTTAAATTTGCTTCATTTTTGATTGTGCACTTGATGAAATTAAAGCAGCTTAGTTTGATATTTGTGCATGTCTCGTAACATTTCCTGCCTATGCAAATCAGTAGAATACATTTAATTTCTTTAAATACCACCAGTAGAGTAAACAGTAGTGTATAAGTGTGTAATCTAGCTTCTTGTCACATAGTTATCCTCTTGGTAAGATTGTCAGTGAGTAGCTACACATTTGCTCTGATGATGATATCTTGTTTGAGTGGTACAAACACAACTGGAGGAGTTTGTGTTGTGTCCTTGACCGACTGTGTTGTCTCAGAGGGACCTTTCCAACAGCTTGGGCTTCAACGAGTTCAAGGAACTGTGGCAGGTTCTGAACGGCTGGAAGTCCACCTTCATGTCCTACGACCGGGACCGCAGTGGGACGGTGGAGGGCAATGAGCTGCAGCATGCCTTAAACTCTATGGGTACTGGCAAACTTTAATTCGCCCTAAATCTCTCAAATCTAATAAGGAAACGGGTTTCATGTTGTAAAATAAATGTTTTCTTTCCTCTAGTCTGAAAGAAGTGAAATAGACCAACATCTTTAAGTAGACCAGTGCATGTAAAAACACATTTTGTAGCTGTAGTGTCTCGCCTTAATCAGCATGTAATATGTGCTGTGTAGCTGCCAAGGTTAGCAGAGTAAAACCAGATATTAGGTCATTGCTCTCGGTGCACAACGTTAACGTTATTTCTTTTCCGTGTTCCTGTGTAGGTTTTAATCTGAGCCCTCAGGCCATGAACATCGTCATGAAGCGCCACAGCTGCGGAGGCAGAATCGCGTTCGACGACTTCGTGGGCTGTTGCACAAAACTACGAGCCCTGACTGGTGAGTGGGCGGGAAAAACTACAACAACGCATGAAATCTGAGACCGTCAGCGTTTGTTTGTTTCACGAACAAATGCTCGGTAAGGAACAATGAAAGTATTCAAAAAGTTCATCAAGTCGACAGTTTTTAATCTTGTTTTTCAGATCAATTCAGAAGAAGAGACCAAAGACAAACTGGAGCGGCCACATTTCAGTATGATGATGTAAGTTTTCACTACTTTTCATTTACTAAAGCTTCATTGTCTCTCCTCCTATCAAGCACAGCTGAGTCCATCATAACTGCACAGGAGGAACTGGCTGCTTCTTCTAAATATTTACGACTTTGTTTTGTGACTTTACAAAGATGTATCAAGCATCTGAGGCTGGACTCATCCAGCGAAAAATAACGTGCCGTAATGTCCCACAAAATCACTTTGTTTGTAATCCACAACGAGGAAGTCTAAAGACCGCAGAAGACACAAGGCGGATGGGTCCAACTAACAGTGAACCTTTAGCCAGGAGAGCGCAGTTTGTTCCCCGTGAAACGAGAAGTCAACGTTGATTTATTAGTCACGTAACTTGTGTACTTTAGTAACTCTGCTTCAATAGTTTGACCCAAACAATGATCCTTTCCTAAACCTAACTAAGTGGATTTGTTGGCTAAACATAACTAAGTATTTGACCATCTTTTCCTAAACATAACCAACTATTTCACGTAAAGACGAAAGTTAGAAAGAAAAATGTAATGTAACAAGCAGAAATTGACACGTGTTGCTGGCTTTAGTTGGAAAACGCACTAAAAATGAGGAGTAACTTTAGATATCATACGAACCGTTGTGTGAGGATACGTTAAGCAGCTACATATCTTGAAAATGCATCTCTGAAACTAGAAATAACTGTTGTTTTCTGGACACTTTAGGGCAGCAGATGCAAACTATGACTTTATGATTATCACCTCTTAAAAATGATAGGGGAAACTATTCGCACACCCTGCATGTGGAGGAACGTGTATTTGGAGTTCCACCTGATTAATATAAGTCCAATATTCACCCTCTTGTTTATGTTTTCAGTAAACGAGATAAAGCCACTGTACACTTCCTGCTTTAAACCTCAGACAGATACAGTCAGAGACTACAGCTGGTGAAATAAGATGGAACATTTAGCAGCTAAATAGAGTTGATGGAGACCAAACTAGAGCTAAAAGGACAGTGACTGTTACACTTATATTGATCAGGTGGACACAAACATAACTCCAGTTGATCATCTTGCTGCTAGATGACTGATATGTGATAAGAGAGTCGTACACTAACACTGGATATATGTCTCTCTAGTTTATCCAGGTCACCATGAGCATATGAAGAAGAAGAAACCAATCAGACGGGACACGCTGGCCCTTTAAATCTTCTCATAAACTTTCATGTACTTTCATTGTGTATTTCTTAATCATTGTTGTAAAAACAGGATTTAAATGTCACTTTCACATTCCTTCTTTTTTAAAACAAAGTCATGTGTACTGTAACAAACTAATACCCTCTGTACCAATGACAACCCCCTGTATTCTGGGTTAGCCCATAGAGCTGCATGAATGCAATGAATAAACATGTCCACCACAGGCTGGCTCCTTTGTTTACTCCCTCTGACAATAGTTGAGTGTTTTTGTTTGTTTGTATTCTTGAACTCAGATGCAGAATGATTAAAACCGTGTCTGTTAAACTTTGTGTCTAACCTCCAAAGTACTTCCTGTCAGGTTAACTGCTGTCCTCAATAAAAGTAACTAAGTAATGTAGTCATAGCAACAGTAGTATCCTCGCTCCTCCGAGCTAAATAAGAGCTTTGCGATGGCCGTCAATATGGTGGCGCAGAACAACTTCCGGTTCAAGCGAACCGGAAGTTGAGGAAATGACAAATAAGAGACTTGGGATGTACCACATCCCAAGTGTATATACTGTGTATATATATATATTTATGATGAGCAGTATATCAAAGACTGTATCGTCTCATGGTATCATCATAGCCCCAAACCCTACAGGACTCAGTCTCCCATAACGCACTGGACGCCTGACGGCTGTTTAAAACACTGATTTGAACTGTTTGAAGACTACACATTCACTTTCAAACATTCAGTTTTATCTTGCTTGAACTACATTGAAATAAGTAAATGATGTACATGTAACCAGGTATAAAACCCACTGTTTGACTCCAGTATACGGATAATTTACGATGTACACTTAACCTACTTAAACTCACCTGCGTGTCAGTCTTTAATCCAGTTTCATGTTACTTTTTGTATTTCATTTAACTTCAATGCTTTCAATCAAAAAACGGATGCAATAGACTGTCATGACTACGTGTAATTTCATCCGATTTGTTGGTCAAAGAATAATGAAGCAAAACATGTAGAAGAAACTTGATGATCATTTCATCTCAGAATGTTTAATATCAGTGAGAGGAAACAGTTCTACAGAAGTCATATACAGTTGTGTGAAAAAGTGTTTGCCCCCTTCCTGATTTCTTATTTTTTTGCATGTTTGTCACACTTAAATGTTTCAGATCATCAAACAAATTTAAATATTAGAGAAAGATAACACAAGTAAACACAAAATGCAGTTTTTAAATGAAGGTTTTTATTATTAAGGGGGAAAAAAAATCCAAACCTACATGGCCCTGTGTGAAAAAGTGATTGCCCCCTAAACCTAATAACTGGTTGGGCCACCCTTAGCAGCAACAACTGCAATCAAGCGTTTGCGATAACTGGCAATGAGTCTTTTACAGCGCTGTAGAGGAATTTTGGCCCAGTCATCTTTGCAGAATTGTTGTAATTCAGCCACATTGGAGGGTTTTCGAGCATGAACCGCCTTTTTAAGGTCATGCCACAGCATCTCAATCGGATTCAGGTCGGGACTTTGACTAGGCCACTCCAAAGTCTTCATTTTGTTTTTCTTAAGCCATTCAGAGGTGGACTTGCTGGTGTGTTTTGGATCATTGTCCTGCTGCAGAACCCAAGTGTGCTTCAGCTTGAGGTCACGAACAGATGGCCGGACATTCTCCTTCAGGATTTTTTGGTAGACAGCAGAATTCATGGTTCCATTTACCACAGCAATTCTTCCAGGTCCTGAAGCAGCAAAACAGCCCCAGACCATCACACTACCACCACCATATTTTACTGTTGGTATGATGTTCCTTTTCTGAAATGCCGTTACTTTTACGCCAGATGTAATGGGACATACACCTTCCAAAAAGTTCAACTTTTGTCTCGTCAGTCCACAGAGTATTTTCCCAAAAGTCTTGGGGATCATCAAGATGTTTTCTGGCAAAACTGAGACGAGCCTTTATGTTCTTTTTGCTCAGCAGTGGTTTTCGTCTTGGAACTCTGCCATGCAGGCCATTTTTGCCCAGTCTCTTTCTTATGGTGGAGTCATGAACACTGACCTTAATTGAGGCAAGTGAGGCCTGCAGTTCTTTGGATGTTGTTCTGGGGTCTTTTGTGACCTCTTGGATGAGTCGTCACTGCGCTCTTGGGGTAATTTTGGTCGGCCGGCCACTCCTGGGAAGGTTCACCACTGTTCCATGTTTTCGCCATTTGTGGATAATGGCTCTCACTGTGGTTTGCCGGAGTCCCAAAGCTTTAGAAATGGCTTTGTAACCTTTTCCAGACTGATAGATCTCAATTACTTTGTTTCTCATTTGTTCCTGAATTTCTTTGGATCGCAGCATAATGTCTAGCTTTTGAGGATCTTTTGGTCTACCTCACTTTGTCAGGCAGGTCCTATTTAAGTGATTTCTTGATTGAGAACAGGTGTGGCAGTAATCAGGACTGGGTGTGGCTAGAGAAATTGAACTCAGCTTTTCAAAGATGTGATAAACCACAGTTAATTTATGTTTTAACAGGGGGGGGGGGCAATCACTTTTTCACACAGGGCCATGTAGGTTTGGATTTTTTTTCCCCTTAATAATAAAAACCTTCATTTAAAAACTGCATTTTGTGTTTACTTGTGTTATCTTTGTCTAATATTTAAATTTGTTTGATGATCTGAAACATTTAAGTGTGACAAACATGCAAAAAAATAAGAAATCAGGAAGGGGGCAAACACTTTTTCTGTATATGTGATCTGAACATACACAAGCACACACATAAAAACCTACTAAATATGAACTTCAGACATCGACGATAAATGTTCCTGAACTTTAAGAATGAGGATGATGAAGATGATCCTGAATAACCACATATGTGATCCTTACAGCTCTAAACACATTCACTTCTGATTTCTCTCCTCCGGTTTGATCTTCAGATTATCGCTGATGTCATGAACTGAAAAAAAATGAATTAATTTCACTTTAAATATGCAAATGTTAATTTTACACAAAAGTTCTTAATTAAATGAGAAAATATTTAGTAATTTAGTATTTAAGTCACAGAAGTGTAAAAATAGGCTTTAACTCGTAGTTTTTTCATATAGACGGTTTATTTATTGACTTATGAAACTACAGAAAAAACACTGGTTTTCATGCACTGATCAATTTAGAGACTTTGGGCTATTTCACTTCAATAATCTTTTTTCAGACTAGTGGAAAGAAAACATCCAAAATACACATTTATTTGTTTATTCTATTACTTTGTCTCTTTACGTCTGCAGATTTCTCCTAAATGCACCAACAGTTACCATTGCATAATGCCTCATTTGCATATTCAAACATAACACTTTAGAAAACTTGTAACAAAAAATAATTGTCTTAATGTCAGTAAGTATATAAACATATAGATGCTGCACAACATTCTGTATATATTTGTAGTATAAATATTTCATATTTTGGTGAAAGAGGTACTCGGATCCTTTAATTGAGTAAAAGTAGAAATACCACAGTGTAAAAATACTCCATCACAAGTGAAAGTCCTGAATATAAAATTGTACTTACTTCTGTAAAAGTACAGAAGTATTATCTGCTAAATGTCCTTAAAGTACGCATTATGCAGAATGGCTTCTTTCAAAGTGTTTTAATATATTCCGTTTTTTTTTTTATAACTAACAAATACAAGTGAGAGGATTTTAATGTAGTTCTTCAATGTGGACCCAGTTTGAGATACTTTGTGTACTACTGGGTAGATTAGAAGTATAGAACTGATCATGTTTTCTTTTATGTAAAAAGTAACCAACAGTTAGTAGCAAATAGATTTAGTGGAGTAAAGAGTACAATACTTCCCTGTGAGATGTAGAAGCATTAAGTAGCAGAAAATAGAAATACTCAAGTACTAGTATGTCATAGTCCTTTAAATGTATTATTTCTTTAATATCACTTCAAGGAAAATTTTATTTCTTTTCAGTAGTTAAGTGGTACTATTGTGTACTTGACATCTTTATCCTGTAGTACAGGTGAATAAACAGCATTCGAGACCATTTCTTACTGAATGTATGAAAACATTTGAACTCACCTGCTTGAAAGAGAAGCTGGCGACGTGGCAGTCACACGGCAAACTCAGCAGATGAGCCTGGAAACGCTCTGACACAGGAAGCAAATATTAACGTCACCAAAACATTTAAAACACTTGTGTAAATGTGCAGAATCTGCTGTATGAAGACATATAACAATAATTAACTCAAGAAGTCTCCTCGTGTTAATGTACAGTCATGAATGAATTCATCATGTTTGATGAAGAGAAACAAAACAGTAAAATCATAAAAGTTGATCAGATCAAATACTTAGTTCAGGAAAAAGATCGTCCTTTGGTTAAAATACCTAAGGAAGTGCTAAAGATAATGATGGATCGTTTGATGGATCGTTTGATGGATGGATGGATGGATGGATGAATAGATGATAGATGGATGGATGGATGAATAGATGGATGGATAGATGGATAGATGGATGGATGAATGGATGGGTGAGTGGATAGATGAATAGATGGATAAGTGGATGGATGGATAGATAGATGGATGAATAGATGGATGAATGGATGGATGGATGGATGATAGATGGATGAATAGATGGATAAGTGGATGGATGGATAGATGACAGATGGATGGATGGATGAATAGATTACCTTTGAGGATCTGAAGTTTCGTCAGGACGGCCACAAACTCATCGTAGTTGATCCCGTCTTTGGAGCGGTTCTCTTGCCACAGAACTCTGAAGGTTTTATCTTCTAAATCGAATTCTGCACGATGAAGACAATAACGGATGAAGAGAAAATCCACAAATGAAAGGAGACTGATTGAACTCGACGCTCCTTAAATAATGTTGAGGAAACATCTCGGCTGCTTCAAAGAACAAGACGTATTACCACGGAGAGACAGAGCCTTTTTCAATTGGGTTTGGGTGACGGAGGGTGGGGTCCTCGTCTCGTAGCTCTCCACATACTCCCTCCTGAGAACAGCCACGTAGGTCTCCAGTTTGAAGACCTCCACCACATTCAGGTCTCCGGTCTTGTCTGCCTGAAAGTGCTGGTTAAAGAGCTTAAAATGAACTGAAAGCATGTAACTCAACACCTTGTTGCTTCTATTACATGAAGAATCAAAAGGTCAAATATTTCATCCAGTGGATTCAGAACGAGTTTGGTACCTTCTAATGAGACATATGGTCCGCTTCCAGATGTGATTACTAAATATGTCTGTAAACACAGAGCAGATCAACAGAACCAGCAGTGAAGTTTCAAAGGATACGTCCATGAGAGTCAACAGCAGATGGGCTGTCTTGAGACTCAGCGCTAAATTGGGGAGTATAAAGAAAAAAACCTTTCTCATTCAGATGATGAGATAGCGTCGTTAAAATTAGAAGAAACAAACTGACTTTTGCCACGAACAGAGTAGCCCCCGGCGATCAGTTTAGCGAGAAGTCCTTCAGCATTTAACATCTGTTGGAAACAAGGACGCATAAAAGTCTGATGATGAATCGAGTTACTTGCCTGATACATGTTTTCATGCTGCAAATGAGCCAAAAAAGTTGTCTCTTATCTGTTGATAGCAATGTGCTTTCCTACGCGGTGACATAAGCGTGATGATGAAGCATTAACTTGTTAAATTTCACCATTTAGCTGCTAGCTAGTTAGCTAGCTAGGTTGCTAATTCCACCATGCTTTCATGCTATACTGGATACAGAGAATGAGCCAACAAAGTTGTCTCTTATGTGTTGATAGCAATGTGCTTTGCTTTGGATGAAGCGTTAACTTGTTACATTTCACCATTTTAGCGGCTAGTGGTATATTTTGAGAATCAACACTAATTTGTTTTTATAAACACTTACCTCAGGCCTGCTGTCTTCCTGTGAAAGACAAAGAACATGATGTCATGTGAAGATAGGTAAGCAGAGAGGAATCTGAGAGGAATCTGATCATTTCCATTAGTTAGCTTCTTCCAATTATCTTTTCCTTTTCTTACCGATATACATTTGTCTTCTGGGAACGAGTTACACTGCAGCTCATCTGGCCAGGAAACGCCAAAGCTCATCATCAAACTCTCACAGCCCTGTTTGGCCCTCTCGCAGAAAGACCTGCAGGGCCGCTGCACTTCCCCCGCTAAACACTTGGGGGCGTACACCATGCACACGAACAGGCGTATGTCCACCGAGCACATTGTTTGTACCAACGAGTTGAAAAAGGACATCTTCCCCACCGCTTCCCTTTGACTTGTGTGTCCCAGCAGATTTGGACTGATGGTCTGGTTGTAGGACAGGCCCTGGCACATCGGGATGGTGATGGGCTCACAGATCCCTCCGCTGCTGCCCACGCCGTACTGGAACAAGACACACGTGGACGCTGTCACTCGCAATCTAATTCCCATTGGACAGGCTTGTACTGCCTTTTTGTTTTTTAATCTTTTGTATTTCGGCGACATCTTTGGTGAAATACTGTAATTGCACAATGTTTGGACTGTGGGGCAAACTAAGCTAACAAATGTATTATTGTTAGTTTGACATTTGTAAATTTAGCAACAATCAAAAGTGGGCCATGAGTCACAAAATGTTAAGAAGACCTAGCGTAACATACAAAAGCAGCCTTTGTAGTAAACATTTTCATACTGGAGTCGAAACAGACGTACGTGTTCACAGGACTCCGTGGTCAACGCTTCACACTTGAGGGAATCCGGCCACTGGAAGCCAAACTTGTTCATCAGAGATTCACAGCCGGACCGCGCATGCTCGCAGACCGTTCTGCAAGGGAGTCGAGGTGTTCCTGACACGCACTCGGGAGTGTAGACGGAGCACAAGAAAGGCTTCAGATGAGTGGAGCACCCCACTTTTACAAGCGGACCGAACTGATGCACTTCCAGGCCTGCGTCCTCCTGAGTTTTGTGGCCCAGGATGTTGGGCAGAACGGTCTCGGTGTAAGGCAGGTCTCTGCAGAGAGGGACTGTGATTGTCTGACATGATGCGGTGGATGTTTGAATAACACCGAAGCCTTGAACCTGAAAGAACAGAAACACAAATCAGGGAATTCTGAATATCTTTTTGCTGCTTGCTCCTGCCCCTTCTGCTCGTAGCGCATTTTTAAAAAGTGGCTTTATGCTACGATGATTTGTCTTTTTGGAAAACTTGCAAGTTACTTTGTCTGTGTTAATGTCACACGAGAGGAGCTGGTTGACCCCATAGACTGTATATGAGTGGACGTAGTCATAGTGATGTCACTCATTGGTTTGTGGACTGATGTTTTGAAGCCTCTAGTTTAGTAATTTCGCTGTCGCCATCTTAGATTACGACCGTCGCCATCTTTTCTTTTTTGTAAACGATGAACCGAAGTTGCTATATTTGGACTGAGCAGGAGTGACATAGAGACGCCGTGTACGTCTCTGGTAGAGACCTGTCAATCACCGTGTAGCCATGCCCTAAAGCATCCCCTGCTTTATGGTCTGTGTGACTCTAAATGGACCATAATGTACTAAATGAACATCATGCTGTATTGAAGAAAACTTGAAATGAGAGATCGAGACCATAAACTCATGTTTACAATGTTTACTGAGGTAATAAATCAAGAGAGAAGTAGAGTCATTTTCTCATAGACTTCTATACAACCAGAGGAGTCAGCAGTGAGAATGGACTCAGGTGCCATTTTAGCTTTTTGCTAATATACCTGGTTTTAAAATTGTTGCTTTGTACGAGACACTTTGTAACTTGTTTTTCGAAATACGCTCAAATACATGTCATATTTTTTTTAACTCTTCACAACTAGTGGCTTCTGAGACATAAAGTCCTGATAAACATCTCAAAAGTCAGAGAAGAGCAGACTCACGTGTTCACAGGACTCCGTGGTAAACACCTCACACCTGAGGGCCTCTGGCCACTGTAAGCCGATCTTGTTCATCAGCGATTCGCAGCCGGACCTCGCCTGCTCGCATTGCGTTCTGCAGGGAGGTCGAGGGGTTCCCGACAAACACTTGGGAGTGTAGACGGAGCACAACAAAGGCTTCAGGTGGGTGGAGCACCCGACTTGTATAAGTGGTGCAAACACTTGTAGAGCCATTCCTGCCTCTTCCTGAGTCGCGTGGCCCAGGACGTTGGGCAGGACGGTCTCGGTGTAAGACAGGTCACTGCAGACGGGGACAGTGATTGTCTGGCAGGATGCAGGAGGTGTTTCAGGCACACTGGTGTCTTGACCCTGAAAGAAAATAAGCATAAATCGGTGATGTCCAAATTATCATTTCAGATGCCTCTGTTCTGTGACCTCAGCACTAACGCTGGAACCAGTGGTGGAAGAAGTATTGAGACCTTTTACTCCAAAAGTACTCATTACAAGTAAAAGTCCTGCATTCAAAATCCAACTCAATTTAAAGTGCATAAGTATGAGCAGCAAAATGAACTCAAAGAATCCAAAGTAGAAGTAGAATGACCTCTCTCAGTGTTTTATATATACAGTAGTCCTTCTACATTACTGTAATATTATTATTGATGCTTTTTATGTAAGCAGTATATCATCAACGTAGGGCTAATTTTAACTACGTAATATTCTGTTTCAGTATTTAGTTTAATACATGAGAATGCATCAATACTGTTTGTTCTTTTGTTTCACATTTTAAATCTTGACCTGGAAAGTAACAAAAGTTGTCAGATAAATGTTTCAAAGTTAAAAGTACAATATTTGCCTCTAAATTGTATCAAAGAGTTGATATCCTCATCAGTTGGTACTAACCTGCACACAGTTGGACTGTGGTAAAGTTTCACATCGGAGCCTCGTTGGCCAGAGCAGCCTCTTGGCCTTGAGGGCGGAGTCGCAGTCTGTCTTGACCTTCTCACAGAGAGCTCTGCACGGCTTCATCTGGCTGCTCTCCTCCGAGCCACACTCGGGCACGACGACCCGACACATGAGCACGGCCACGTTCGGTGAGCAAGCGGCCTCCACGATCTGCCCGGTCTCTCGCAGGTTGAAGCCCAGCACTCCGGTCGGATGCGCTGTCGTGGTGTAGCCCAAACCTTGACAAAAGCTGGATGTTACTGGCTTGCAATTAGCCCTGCTGTGTGCCCGCTGAGGAGACAGCAGCGAGCCCAAAACCACCAAGAACAAATGCTTCATGGCTCCTCAAGTGATCTCTAAAACTGCCCTGTGCTGTAACAAAGCTTTCGTAGGTTTTGTGTAGGAGGTGGAGTAGGAGTCCACGAATGGGGTCTCTACGAACAAGGCACTGATTTAGGACCACTGCTAAGGTCACATATCAATAAGATGCCGAACACACAATGAGCAACAAACTGGTCCCAGAGCAGCAGCAGCCCTATTCTGAGGATCAAGTCAACATCTGGTTGTGATTGTGTTTTTCTGTGTAACCTTGGGAGGGGGGGGGGGGGCTTTCTGTTGCACAAAGGCTGGCACAATAAACCTGACTTCTGGGAGGAAAGTATTTCAACACTTAATAGGAACGAGAAAGTAAAGTGTCAACATGTTGGGATTTTTCAAAAACAACTGTGAGTCCAGTTCCCTTGAGATTTGAGTTCCGTAATTAAAAATCGATGTTTTTCCGTAAACAGGATTAGTTGATTTCAGACTGACCTAATAAAACAGCAGTAGAGAAAGTGGTTGACTCTCTTGCTGAAAGATTCTTCAGTGCATTCCAGATAGGATCATTCTTCTTTTTAATTTAAGTACATACTGCAGCTACCCTCACAAAGGACGTACTGTTGCATGCAGAATGCATTCAATTGGGACCTCCTCATAACATTGCACCTTGTACTTTCAGCACCCTCTTGGTCATATATCTGCTGTGCAAAGGATTGTGGGTTAGAAAAGCATGCTGGCTTGCATACTGCAAAATGCGACCGGCTGCAGTAGGACATTCTGTTGGAGGTTTTTGACATTTGACACAATATTGTGACATACTGAATCCTTTTCTGGCATACTGAGTATGGTAGTAACTATTCTTATTTTCAGGTGATTAAAGTTACTGCAAGGAACTTTTATTTAGTGTTGATTCTGTTGGTCCCTGTGGACTAAAGTGGTAGTGTCTCTGACACCACTTCTCCCGTGCCTCCCTTCCCTCCAGCGGGTCCAGCAATACGTCCTGGGTCTCCAGCAGCGTGGTGTCGGTGTTGGCTCCCAGAGAGGAGAAGCTCTGCTCCTGGAGGATGACGAGGAGGAGGAGGAGACGCTGCTGCTGCCGGGAGCAGAGCTCTCCTTCTCCCTCCGGAGCTCCGACTGCAGGTCCAAGGCTGCAGGTGAAGCCGGATCTGGGTCTGTTTACTATACTATGTACTGGGACATACTAAGTGTTTTTCTGGCTTATTAAGTAGTATTTTCGTACGGGTATTGGAACGCCCAGCTTGTCTCCCTTTTCAAAGACCTCCGAGTCAAAAGACATTGCTTTGAGGACGCCTGGAGTCAAATATCAGAGACTTTTATAAAGATAAGAGATGAATGCATTTAATGACAGAAAGATCGAAGGTGTGTAGCAGAACAGCACTTTGGCAACCAACAAAGTATTCCTTATAAAACTAGCTGAAATGTATCAGTAATAACAATCAGTATTTTGGTATTGTTTGCTGTGTGGCTGTAGAGATGCTGATTCAGAACATCTGTTGGTCCGTCAATCCCAACACTTAATCCCCAATTTAAAAAAAACAAAATATTTGGTCCATACTGAAACTTGAATCCTCATAAATCATCACAAGTTAATGAAAACACTTTTGTACAGCGAGACGCTTTAGAGCTTCACAGTTCAGGCTCGTTCCCGTGTCATCATGAAGCTGCCAATCTGAAGGGTTCCACTGCAGGAAACAAGACGTGGGCTCCTTCAGGCAAAACAAATGAAAGAGGAGGAAGAAGCAGGGGATGCTTTAGGGCGGGGCTACACAGTGATTGACAGGTCTCTACCAGAGACGTATACGGCGTCTCTACGTCACTCCTCCTCAGTCCAAATATGGTCACTTCCTGTTCACTGGTTGCAAAAAAAACAAGATGGCGACGATCATAATCGAAGATGGCGACGGCGAAATCGCCGAACTTAAGGCTTCAAACCATCAGATCACAAACCAATGAGGGACATCACGATGACTACGTCCACTTCTTATATACAGTCTATTTGCAGGTCGCACCTCGCCGATCCTCTGGTGTGCTTCCAGCGTTAACGTTCATTGTGCTTTAAAAAAACGAGGCTAAAATCAAGACTTAGGGTTCCTTGTGTCGTTTAAAAATGCTGAGTTCATCCTCAAAGACTGACTGGTGAACTCGGGACTTCAGAGCCACCAGCACAAAGTTTCTTGGAGAGAAGTTCGGGTCAAAGAGAGGAACCAGCTGGCTGTCCACACCTGCAGCAGAGGAGGCTTCAGTTAGAGCTGGCGGGGAACAATTTAAAAATCAAAACCCAGATCGTTAGTCGTCAACAGTCATCCAGCGGCTCACCGTTCTCCTGCAGGTAGATCATCCTGTCCAGCAGCACCAGCGTCTCCACCACAGGAGCCAGCAGCAGCGCCAGGCTGAAGTAGACCACCACCCTGCCCTGCTGCTCCAACATGGACTCCACCCGCTCCAGGTCCAGAGGCAACCCGGGGGGCAGGCCAACCCGAGCCAGACCCAGACGGGCGTACCTGATATGGGGACGTGGATGGAGACAGAGGAGGGCATTAACATTGACAAAGCCTTTATTGCACGGCTTTGTTGAATACTCGATTCTGATTGGTCAATTACGGACTAATTGCTTAAGATCTATTTAAACACAGCCATGCATATATATCTTGTAAACGAGCTTAGTAATAGTGTTTGATTTAAATTCAAACCAGATTTATTTTTACTTTAGAAGGTACGATCTAAACTTTGTTCATATTAATTCTCATTATTATGAAACCAAGATCTTCCTCATTAATAGAGTTTTGGTTTAATTTAATCTTAAGTGAAGACTTTTTGGGGTTTGCATTCTTGGACAGCTTAGGACTTTTGGTTATTGCCTCTTCTGAGCAGCCCAGTACAACCAGTTGAACCCTTAGACCTGTTGACTGGCAGCTGTGGTGCTCACTCACTCTGTAAATGGCAGTAAGTGGGCTTTCTTTATGGTCTGGATTCCCGCCCTCCGCAGATCCGGTCTCGTATCCGCGATGAAGGTCTCCAGCGTGGCCCGGTAACAGTGCGTCCTCAGCGCCTCGCCTCCCTCCCGGAGCCTCCGAGAATAGTCCTCAACAGCGTGACACGCCCCCTCCCTCGCCTTATAGGACAGCCGATGTCCCGGCAGCCCCCCCACCCAGGAGCTCATCGGGTAGCCAAACTCTGAGGGGTCGGCGTCCTGGTCTGGTGGCTGTGTAGCTGGTACCAGACCCGGAGGGTTGGGGTTTTCTTTGGTCGTGATTTTCATGTAGCAGCACGCCACGGAGGTGATGGCGCGCACATGTGGGCAGTTGACGAAGTGGCGGAGGAGGGTGGCGCTGAGGTCACCGCAGGCGTGGAGACCGGTGAGGACGAAGTCCGGATGGCCTCGCTCAGGACCTGCACCCTCCTGACGGACACTCTGGACACACGAGCAGCAGTTTGCAGCAGATGACGCCCCCTCAGACTCGCTCTTTCTGAACTGGTGTTGCGATGTCGATTCATATTCCGGTGAGTCCGTGGAACCACGACGCCATGAAGTCTGGACCGCATGAGAACAGGGAGGGTCAACCTGCTCAGAGGCCCGCGGTCTCTTTTTGCTGGGTCCAGGTGGAGTCGGGGAACGTTCGTTGACACATTGTGCAGCACTCAGCTGCTTGATGAAGACCTCCCATGATGCCTTGGGGTTTACCCAACCGGCCACGTGGCGGGGAGACGACCGTGATACTGGGACCAGAGAGGAGCAGTTCTAGGAGGAAGAAAGATGTTTACAATACCCAAAAGCTTGAATGTTTAGAACCTTTCAGGGAAGAAATGTGAAGCTTAAAAAAGTGATTTTGACAATTTAAAGTTACTACGAGGAACTTTGATTTAGTGTTGATTCTGTTGGTCCCTGTGGACTAAAGTGGTAGTGTCTCTGAGCACCAGACTCTCTTTAGAAAACCTCTCATTCTACTGCAGCAGGGTCTGGCAGTCTGCCCCTCTCAGTCCTGCTTCTGGAGGCCCTGCTGGAGTCTGAGCTGAAGGAGTTTCTGGTGAACCTGCATGATTTCATCTGGTTTCACCAGAATCCGACCCGGTGGCTCCGATGACGAGCATCAAGGATAACTCTATAGAAACAGACCATCTTCTCTCTGATGGTCTCTTTACTGATGAAGGTCAGATAGAGGATCAGGACTAAACTGAGACTGGTTCATATAGAGGATCAGGACTAAACAGACCTGGTCCAGGACCAGTTAAAAGTTCCTCACAGTAACTTTAATGCTCTTTGAAAACCAACCTTTGTTAATGGACTGATAGCGTGTAATGACTTCAGCGAAGCACCGACCTTTTTCTGCGCCTCCTTCTCCAAGGCACACAGTAACTGTCCGTCAAACTTGGACGCCGTGGCAACCAGGGTGCCATCAGCCTCAATTGCGGTCACAGACAGTCCGAGCCCGAAGGACAGGAAACGGGTCAGGTGACCCTGTTTGGAGCAGAGCGGAGGGAAATGTTTCATGTGTGATGATTTTTTAAGTGTTACTCATGTGACGTGCACGGGATCACATGACCTAAAGCAGACATCTCTTCTTCTTCTGTTCTATTAAAAACACACCAACTGTGTCACATGTTGCTTTGTCACCATGAACACTCACACTGTAGTTTATTCTGTAGCACCAAATGTGGATTAATCCGCCACTGAAAATAGTACCCAACAAATGCACCATTTCCTCCTGTTTTGTTTGATAAACATAACACTGAGTTGCTGTTTTTAGGAAATGACTGGGCTATTTTTTAAACATGAAACTTACATATTTGTGTGTTTTTAAAAAAGTATTAAGTCTTATGAAATTTGCTGACAGAATAATCTGCTATCCACCTTACTAAATTAAGTTTTAGTTGTTTAACTTAACCACAAGCTCTCTCTGCAGTGTTGACTATGCACAAATACTGTAGAATAATAATAATAATAATAATATGGACAGAATAATACCTGTCCAGAGCCAACATCCACCACCTTGTTGCAGTCAGTCTGGTCACAAAGCTCTTTCACCAGCTTGGATAAAAGAAAAGAAACAGATTCAGAGAAACAGGTCAATTTAAACCTTAAAAAAAGTGACAGTCGCCAATAAACAATCCCGTACCGAGCCCAGCTTGCGGATCTCGTGCTGTTTCTTGGGTTTGACGTGTTTCCTGAATATGTGTCCCAGCAGTGAGCTCTGACTCTGGTTGTCCAGGAACTCCTCGGGCTTCACCGAGCCGACCGCGCCGCCTCGCTCCCGCCTGCACTCTCTGGGAAACGCCAGAGCATGAGCGGTGGCACGAAACGCCAGGAGGGACAGAGGCCACACCGAAGGATATCTGGAACGACCAAAAACAAGCTTACGGTTAATCATCATGGAGATCACGAGGCTGGCAGGATGTTATATCCTTCTCACTGTCAACAAATCCCACAAAGGGTCCATGCTGCTAAACAAGAAACTAATTCCATTAACAGAAAGCAATCAGGCTGCTATGAGAACTAATAGGCAGAGTGTGCGCATACTAATATGAGGCTACGTGTTCCTGTCAAGTGTTGGTATAATGTTGCTGTTTTGTGCTTCAGCTCCTTGTTTCATTTAGATTTTTTTCTAACCTTACTTTTGGTGTAAGACTTTGTAAATAGCCTGATTAAAACCCAGCAGTACCTCCTGTCTCCATGCGTAGCATCCAGTAACAGGTCTGCAACCTGTCGATACGTCAAATCCTGCAGCACAGGCTGCCACGTGTTGGGTAAAGACTGCCAGTGATTTTTAGAGAAGAACTCCTGTGGGGGGAAATAACAATGTGCCAGTTGTTATTGAAACTACAGAGAATGGGATATGAATCCATTTTTTTCTAAATTGTGGATAAAATAACTATTAGTTATTTAAACCAGACAGCTGGAGAACCCTTCCCATACTCACGAATATACATGATTTATTTCAGTTAATAACGGCTGATTCAGCTGATCTACTGGAGTTCAAACAGACTGATGGTAGGGATGAAAACATGCAGTGGTGGAGGAAGTACTGAAGTAAAAGTACCTATAAAGTAAATGTATTTAAAGTAGTGAAAGCAGTGATTGATCAGTAAAAGGTTTGATATCTGATGTTTCTGTTGCATGTTAACTCCTTTATATCCTGTTGTCTAGTTTAATCTACATCAAAGCATCATATTCTATAAGATCATCATATGTGTGTAGCGTCTCTGTCCTGTGAGAACCACGTATCTTTAAAAACAGCCTGTTTCCAGCTATGTGATGATGCTTTTTCCAGCTGATCCAAGAGGCTTTTTAAACAGTTCATTAAGAAGTAGGAGGATTTTTTTGTCAACACATTCAGCATTTCATCAGTTTATCACAAACATTCAGCATCAACACATCTGAAGATACACGGTTTTCATTGGACAGGAAGGGGATGAAAATCTGGCTTGTGAGAAGTTAGACAAATGTAGTGGAGTAGTATAACAAAGTAAACAATACCTTTATTTTTTTTTTTACTTGTGAAAATGTACTTAGTTACTCATACGCATGTGATTGGTGGACACACAATCTAACTCCAAAATCTACACAATCAAGGATGCAATATATGCAACAGTAGTGTGTTCTAAGGTGCCTATGGCAACCTTTTTGTTTACAACTCATAGCTAAAGCTAAACTGGAAAAGGCTGCAAACTGTGACAAGTCAGTTATCGATACGCACAATTATGTAGGAGTCGGACACGTGGCTGTACTGAGACAGGAACGTGGTGAGACTTTTCGCCAGCTCTCTCTGTTGTTCTGCTGGAAAGCTTGACGTAAACATCTCCACATCTTGGGCTGCTGGGAAGTTTAGCTAAAACAGCTCGCTAAGCTAACAGACATTTGGTTTTGAAGGCGAGCTAATGCTAATATAGTTTTGTTTTTAACGCTGCGTTATTTCTGCTAGTTAAGACAAAGTCGAGCGGAACTTAACATCTTGAAATTATAAAGCAAATTCTGCGTCTTTCCATTTCGACAAATGCTTGTTGTTGTTAGCCACTAGCAAGCTAACCTTAGCATAGCTGTAACATGTTCACGATGTAGAATGCGTTCTTCTTCTTCTTCTTCTTCTTCAGTTTAATGGCGGACTACAAACCAACGTTTAAGGTGCATACCGCCACCAACTGTACCGGAGTGTGTAACATCGTGACTTTATGACAATTGTCATTTAAACGCAATAATAATGTTGTTATTAATAAATAAAATAAAGGAAGACTTCATATAGAAGTTATATTGTGGACATTAAACCCCTTCCATTCATAAATGTACATGAAGCCCTTTTAACTGAACTTGTTTGTTTGTCTCCTCTCCTCTCTGCGCTGTGTTCACTTCCTGAAGTTCAGTCAAAGTTTCTCTGATTTGTTGTCACATGACTGTTGGTCTCAGATGGATCAATCATGACTTCATAGTTTCACTGAGGAGCTCACAACTTAATGTTGTTACACAATCTGGTTAAAGTAAACGCTTTATTTCTGGCAAGATTTTAAATGAGAACATGTAGAATCAAATGTTTCTGATTAAATAATACGTACTATACTAGACATGTCTCACCTGTAGTGGAGCTAGAAATCTAAAGTTTGCCCTGAGGGTGGCGCTAGAGGAAAGGTCTCATCCTCTGTCCTTACTGGCTCTCTATGTTAATATAATTATTATATATATATATATATATATATATATATATATATATATATATATATACTTACATGTTCTTATATACTGTGTGTCTTTATTAGTTATTGGTATTATTAGTTACTATTATCAAGTACAGTGATGATAACTGTGTATTTATCAGTTATTGGTTATTATTCGTGACTAATATTAAGTACAGTGATGATAACTGTGTCCCTGGTGGGAGGGACTAAGACGCAAGGAAAGGACGCAAGTGAGGGAAACGGGGATGCAATTAATATACTTGGGATGTACCCCCAGAAGGCATTGTCAAGCCGGAAGAAGCGCGAGGTCCAAAATGTTTCAATATCTGAGACTAACTAATATTATTAAGAAAATATGAGCCAGTTGTTTTGTTTTTTGTTTTGTTTATTATTCATTCTCTTTGGTTTTTATCCTGATACACACTCCATACCAGTTGGTGGCGGTAATGTACCAATTCATTGTTTGTCAACCGCCGGTATACCTCAAAAAAAGAAGAAGAAGAAGAAAGAAGGTACACTTGTGTGCAGCAGGTCGGCTTCTCTATTTCACAAAGTTATTTTCTGATAGAGAACCCATCGCTATCGAGCTACGTATATGTCCACAAACACACGAAGAAGAATTTTGCCGTTGAGAGACATTCATATCTAGAAAAAATGAACCGTTGAGTTGGCATAGTAACCACGGCTGGCGGTTAGCGAGCTAACGGCTAACTGGCGGTTAACGTGAACAACCGCTAATGTCTAAAGCGTTTAGTCGGAACTAGTTAGCTTTTATGACATTTACGAGCTAATTTAAGACATTGGTTTTGCATTTGTCTTGTTTGTACGTGGTTCTGTGTCATCAGCCTGTAAATCACTTGCAAACTAATGTGGAAAAAGAAGCAAAGTTTTTTTTCATGCCACTTAAAGTTAATTCATTAATCTTAGGTTCTAACTAGTTAACTACTCAAGTAATAATAATAGTATAATATAATAGAATGAAAATGTATTTATGTTATATCATTTATTATTAATAATATATCAAATATATATATATATATATATAATAGTAATTATTATTATCATATAATAGTACTGTATTTGAGTACAAATACGACTGAATTTCCTTTGTGTTGCATAACGACAATAAATGATCCTCGAATACTTTTACTTTTCCTACTTTACTTTAAGTATTTTATTTATTTAGCTATTAATACTTACGTACGTTTACTTAAGTACGGTGTTGAATGCAGGACTTTTATTTGTAGTTATCGTTACTTTTACTTCAGTGAATCCACTGGTTAGAACCACACATTTTAATAATGAGAACCCTCTTGTAGTAGAAAGATGCTTTTCACCCTCATTGACCTCTCATACTTAACACCATTATTTAATAAGATAAAAAGTCTAAATTCTATGAACAATTTAAGATATAGTGATGTGATATGATGCGTTCAAGTGCCTCTCTTGAATTCTTGCTTTTAGTTTGAAGGTCTCTGGTTATAATATTGAACTTATACATTGAAGTCCTGCAAATTAAGACAGAGTTTGATAACGTTTTTCTTTTCTCGCAGGATGGTCCATTTAAACTGGTGTCAGCTGATACAAAACGGGACTACAAAGGGTGAAGACCGGTTGAGGAGGTCAGCATAAGCACATCTGCCCCGAGAGAACATTGCTTCTGACCTCTGAACCTCCGTAACCATGTCGGACATTACGCTCAACGTGAGCTACGCTGGTGGCTCTGCACGGAGGAGGCCTCAAAGAGGAACCCGGGGGAGATACAATAGGTTTCACAATAGGATGCATGCTATCGGGCAGAGGGGCCTCCTGGAAGGTAACGATACACACAACCACAGAGAGAGACAGCCCGGACCTTACCCACCTCCACGCCAAAATGGCGCTTTTACGCACGGCGCAGGTTTACCGCATCCAAGCGGCACAGCCGGCGCTTCCCACTTTAGCCACAAGGCTTCGACGTCCACACAACACCTGCCTTCCAGGACTGCGAGCAACAGAGGCTGCCGTGGAAAGCCAAAGGAGCCGGTGCAGAGAAAACCGGCAACCACCGCCCACCGGCCCTCAGCGTCGTGCAGCCATAAACCCGCCGCTGCCGCCGCACAGACTTCAGCAGGAATCCCCACAAAGTACCTCGCTCTTGACTGTGAGATGGTGGGTACGGGGCCCAAGGGGAGCATCAGCCAGCTGGCCCGCTGCAGTCTGGTGTCCTACGACGGAGACGTGGTTTACGATAAATTCATCAACCCCTCCGTGCCCGTCACCGACTACCGCACCCGGTGGAGCGGCATCCGGCGCAGTGACCTCGTCAACGCCACGCCGTACTCTGAGGCCAGGAAGGAGGTGAGGAAATCATTCTATTATCCAAGTGTGTTTTCACTGTTCCCTCTGTCACCTTTACCACTGAAGGAACACATCGGAATGTAACCACACATGTAGCCGTTTGTTTTTCGATTAATTTATTTCTCATTTCGTGCCTAACAATGAAAATGTGTACATATGGTGTATGTTGTACATATTTTTGCAGTATAATTTGCAGTATAATTTTCCATCCAACTCAAAGATGGTGGAATACTTTGCCTCCTAATAATTTGTTTGTCATGTTGACGGATTAGAAAAACGTTTCACCCCACAATCAAAAGACGTTATTTGCGGCAACCTCCGGTTCTGCCGAGTGAAACAAATTCAGTGTCTTAAAACTGCATTCTCTCTAGTGTCCACCAGGGGGCGACTCCTCTGGTTGTATAGAAGTCTATGAGAAAATGACTCTACTTCTCTCTTGATTTATTACCTCAGTAAACATTGTAAACATGAGTTTATGGTCTCAATCTCTAGTTTCAAGTCTTCTTCAATACAGCATGATGTTCATTTAGTACATTATGGTCCATTTAGAGTCAAACAGACCATAAAGCAGGGGATGCTTTAGGGCGGGGCTACACGGTGATTGACAGGTTAGTTTTATGTCCATTGAGTGGAAACGTGCTTGTTGCTCGTCTATAAAACTTTGCACATTGTAACATTACAGAGACATTATATTTGTTTTCATATAAATTAATTTGACCAACATGTCGACTTTGTAAAGTCAGTACCAAAAGAAGTGTGTGTCATTAATGTGAATGTTTGTGTTTCTCTTCCTGTTTGACCTTGCATCTCCGTTTTTGTCTTGTGGGACGAACGTCTTCATGTTTTATTCAGAATTGTTCCGCATTAAGATACAAAGCACACGAGTTTAGTATCACATGTTAATATTTGAGATGCATATCAGCACTTCAGTGTTGTCCACTGTCAAATTATTAAGTTCCACTTTGAATGCAGCTATGGTGAAACGTTCTGGATAACCAGTGATTTGATTTGATTTGATTTGTTTTGTTTCATGTTTTTAATTTATTTAATTACATTTTTAATTTAATGTCATTTAAAGTTTTTGTTTGTGTTTGAATTCTCCATTCACACTGAATAGATCAGATTGCTTCCTGCGTGTCAACAGTCTGTTTACTATGAAAAATAATTAAAACTGTGCGTTTTCCAAAACCTAAAACTGTCCTTTGAATAGAATGTCCACCTGTCACAGTCAAACAGTAGCTGTCTGTCTTTCACCGTTCATCTCTTCTGACTTCTTCTGCAGATCCTGAGGCTGCTCATGGGGAAGGTGGTGATCGGCCACGCCATCCACAACGACTTCAAGGTCCTCGGTTACTCTCACCCGTTCATCCTGACCAGAGACACGTGTCGAATCCCGCTGCTCAACCAGAAGGCCGGCTTCGCCGCCACCGAGTGCGCCTCGCTGAAGAGACTCACCAAGGCCATCTTCAACCGGGACATCCAGGTAAGGAGTCCGCTCCATACACATGCAGCTCGGCAAAGGTAACATGTCGCTCTCATGTCTGAATAAACCTGCAAGTCACTTTAATGTAAACAAGTGTGAATGCTGCTGCAGTCATGTAAAGGCCACAGCAACACCAGGTTTAATACATGCAAAGATTAAATACACGTTCTAAAATGAGATGCAACTTCATTCATCCAGGGGGGAATTGTTGCACTACAAAATATGAAAGAGTCCAAATAACAACAAAATATAAACAATGAAAGTTATCAATAAGTTAAACTGAATGTTACAGGTTAACTGTACCACAGATATGTGAGTGGCATATAGAAAGAAAACATCCAAATAGACGTTTAGGTCTTGATTTTACGACTTTGTCTAATTGCATCTTTGCATTAGATAATGCCTCATTTGCATACTTTAACATGACATTTCATAAAAGTTGTAGTACAAAAAAATAATTGAGGTAAACAAAACATTTTTACATTTTTCGCAGACGGTAATCGATGCTTTCAACACACGTAGAACAGCCTCGATAGCATTGTTGTCATTATTAGGCCATGGCTCCAGCGCACAGCTGACAACCCCTTTAGTCCCGCCCCTGTCCCTGATTGGCTAATCGTGAGTCCCTCCCGCTGCCCTCATTGGTCGATGACCTTTTTATCGAGAAACCGCTGTTTCATGTCACGATGCCGGACTAATCGGTCGACTAGAGCTCGGTGGAGTGGGCGGATTCAAAGGTTCAGCAGCACTTCCATACACCAAACCTCCAGGTTTCATTCCTATCTTTACTTTGAAGGTTATCAGGAGTTATCAGGACGGGGTTGGCAGGAATTCCTAAAAAAAAGAACGAAAGAAGTGGCTAAAATCAGCTTTACTCATGCCGGAGTGAATAGTAGATGACTGAGATAAACTGCATCTTAAAGGAGCCTCGTAGAGTTGTGAGCAAGTGTTTAAAACCAGATCCCTTTCTCTTGTGTCCTCAGACCGGGAGGAAGGGTCACTCTTCTGTGGAGGACGCCAGAGCCACCATGGAGCTTTACAAAGTGGTGGAGGAGGAGTGGGAGAGGAAACTGGCCTCCAAGTCGCAGGCCTGCTAGTGCCAAGGTGGAGAAGAGACAACGAGGACAATAAACTGGGTTTAAATTGACGTTTTGTGGTTTCGGAGCGACCGATCTTCTCTCTTCTGCTGTCCTGTTGACAGGAGAATGAAGAAACCCAGAACACTTCATCATGGGAGGAGAGCATAACGAGTGTTGGGGTCAGACATGTAGCTTTGACCCTTCGGTTCCAGCGGTTCTTTCTCAGGGTTTGCGTCGTGTTTATAAAGGTGCTTCTGCCACGAGGGGGCAGTCATGTCTTAATCCCAGCAACAAAACTGCATCATGAATGATGACGCATCATGTTTAAATTAAATCAGCTGTCAATTTAAAGGCCACTAAAAGAGATCTTTTATGGATAACAAATAGTTATTCTATTTCATCCTTTACAGTCACACGTTTGAATGTTTCATTCATTCATTATCCGAACCGCTTATCCTGTTCAGGGTCGCAGGGCGCCGATCCCAGCTGACATTGGGCGAAGGCAGGGTACACCCTGGACAGGTCGCCAGTTCATCACAGGGCACATATAGAGACAGACAAACATTCACACTCACACCTACGGGCAATTTCGAGTCTCCAAATAACCTGAGCTGCATGTCTTTGGACTGTGGGAGGAAGCCGGAGAACCCAGAGGGAACCCACGCTGCAACAGGGAGAACATGCAAACTCCACACAGAAGGACCACCCGGGATCGGGGATCGAACCCGGGCCCCTCTTGCTGTGAGGTGATAGTGCTAGCCACTACACCACCGTGCAGCCACGTTTGAATGTTTTATTTAATGTAAATATTTGAAACAGAATGTGAGAAAAACCCAGAATAGATTTCTAGAAAGAAGGCAGTATTACGCAAAGTAGTACCTCAACAAAACATGATTAAATATTCCCATAAAGCCCACAGGACACATGGTAACCTCTGTGGTAGCTTCGTCCCTGACGTTCCTCATAAACTCCTCATGAGACTTTTACTTGACTCACCCAGCATCCAGTTGTCCTTCTGACCTCCACTTCATGTAAAACTGCTGTTTTTTGAAAGATGGATGTGCAGTTTCCTTCAGAGTTCGTGCAGTTTCCTATGCAACGGGGTGGAGTTCAGTCGTCCGCTGTAGATTCAGTTCGGTGCTTCGCTCCAATAAATCACTACCACACCATCATTTTGAGCTCGTAGCGTCGTCTGAAGCCGCATTTTACACCGAGAGTCAGAAGTGAGGGGTGATCCTGTCTAAATGGACACAAGCGTTGAGCATTAACTCTTATTCAGCCCCACTGTTCATGCCATCCTCACGTCAGAGGGACGACACACTCAGAGGCCAGTTAATCGTACCGAGAGGTCTTTCTAACACATTTATATCAGCACCTCTCGACATTGTAACCTTCATGGCGGTGGGTTTCATCAGTTTCTCTCTGTTTGTCTAATAAACTGGCGACTGAAATCAGCAGGGATTTAAAGTTTAAATGTCTATTTTCTAGTTTATGACAAATCTGAATGTCTCAGCAGAGTGAAATGAACAGTGAGCGTTTGGGCAGTTTATCCACATTAATAATGACATTTTTAATGCAAATGTCTTCTGATTTAAGGTGAAAGATGTTACATAAAAATGAGTATCATCAAAGTCCAAAAACAAGATTATTTAACTGACTTCATCAGCATTGTTGCTGATATTTTGCTACAACAGATTTAGCTTGTTGACGTTGAAACTCTTTACTTTCTTTGATTGTTTCTTTTAAAGTCAGTTTAAGACTATTTTATTTTGTCAATGTTCTTGCACAACTTTAACAGTTGAAAAAGTAAAGAAGAGTTTTATAGAAACAAGACTCTTAGTTTACTGCAGCTGTGAGGATTTACTCAGGTACAGTGTTGCTTTGAGCTAAATGCTAACGTCGGAATGCTAATTTGATTACAATGACAATGCTAACATGCTGATAATTAGCAGTGATGATCCCAGTTAATGTGTTAGCATGCTAACATTTGCACTAAACTCAAAGAACAGCTGAGGAATGTTGTTCGTTCTGCAGGTATTTGGTCATGAATCAGAAGTTGAGATGTTTCACGAGATGAGTGAAGACTTTGACCTGCTGGTGGCGCTACAGGCAGAGTCAGAAGTTGTTAGGATTCATCCTCTGAGGACCGTGAATGTCTGCAACATTTCACAGCAACTCCTCCAATAGTTGTTGAGGTATTTTGGAAGAAAGCGGTGGACGGACAGACCGTTAGCGAGGCTGAAGTTCGTATAGGAAACATTTAAGAATCCCTCTTTTTGTCATCTGCCACTGCGCGTCTCAATCTCCAGAGCAGATGTTCAACTTTCTATTGACAGAACAGACTAAGATCAAATGTTTGACTTGACTTGTGTTATTTTCCCGCTCTGTCCAGGTCCAACCTCTCTTTCTCCTCAGGCTTTGTTTCCCTCCTCAGACAGCACACTGCAGTAAATATACCGTTGTACATATAGTACTTATAGTACATATATATATATATATATATATATATATATATATATA